AATTAAGTGGGTCTAAATTTTTTTTTAAAAAAAATGATCAAAATATTTTAAAAAGTCATTAAAAATACAAAAATATACGAATTAAGAAGTCAAAACAGTATGTTTGAAAACTCAAAATAAGGTGATTAATATTTTTTTGTAATTTCTTCAAAATAAGGGAGATGAATGATATTTTAAAAGAATAAAAATAAGGGTGAATTACACTAACAATCCCTGTAGTTTAAGGCTTGTATCACTTTGGTCCTTATCTTTTCAATTGTGATATATTTGATCATAAAGTTTATATTTTGTTCTAAACAAGGACAATAAAAAATATTTTATTTGTAAATGGTCAATTTCAAGAGCAAATTTGTAATAACCCCGACCCGTAATTAGCTACTAGTCAGTGATTAAAGATACTAATTGAGTGGATCAAATGAATTATGGGATTAATATGTAAATTACATGATATTTGGCCTTTTATCTGTTACTTATAGAAATATCTGTTTGGAATTCCACTTTAATATATAGATTGAAAGCCTTATCGGCATTCGAAACCGAAATTGATTACGTCAATGTGTTATTTGGAATTTTTAGAACCATATGGCAAGTTTTATTAAAAATTGATTCAGTCTGATTCGTTAAGTTGCGTTTGGCAAGCCTTATATTTTAATTAATGTGTTTTAGCACCATAAACATAAATATGAGCCCTTAAGCTCATTTGAGCTCTTTTCTTGCCCATCTCTGAGTGCTAAAATTTGAATTCATACATCCTAGTGAGAGAGAGACTCCATTTTAGTGAGAGAAAGTGTAGATTCAAGGTAGAAGTTGAAGATTTTGCTTGAATTGGTCATAGATTGTGTAAATTTCTAGCTATTGAAGACTATAGGTATGAATTCAACCCCTAAATTATGAATCTAAGTTATCAACATGAAGATTATGTGTTTAAGGGTGTGTATTGAGCTTAGAAGGAAGATTTGAGTGGCAATTCATGCATACATGTGCATTTTCTTACAAATTGAGCACGATTTCCATGAATCCTCTCTTGTATGTTTGAAATTCATCTTAATTATGGGAAATCATCAAGTTTCAAGTTGTTTTGTGGTGTTTGGTCATGTTTTGAGGGGTTTGATACAAGAAAAATTCATGCATGTTGTATTCATGAACATTCATCATGTTTTAAGTTGAAATTGTGAGTTTTTAACAAACCCTTGGGCCATGATTTTATGAAATGATCCTAAATTCTTCATGTTTTACAAGTTTACTATGTTATCTCAAGTTTTGGGGCCCAAGAAATGTGTTTTGAAGGTTGGAATTCGAGTTTTAAACTTGAAGGTACAATCTGGAAATTTCAGAATTTGCATCTACGCTCGAGCGTGGGAGTTCACGCTCGAGCGACCAGTCTGAGTGTGTGCACTTCGCTCGAGCGATCAAAAGTCCGCTCGAACGTGAATTGCAAGCTCCCAGAAGTTTCATGTCTTTTACAGATCGCTCGAGCGAAAGAATGTGCGCTCGAGCGATCATTCACATTTTGCATGTCCGCTCAAGCGAGGAAAGTTACGCTCGAGTGTGGACCTGATTTTCAAAAAAATTGACTAAGTGTTCCAAGGCATGTTTTGGCATCCTCATTGCATCTTAGGCATTCCTAAGCCTTAATTAAGCCATAGTAATGAGGTTATGGATTAGAAACACAACTAAGACAAGAATGTACTAAGTCAAGGAATTGCAAGTGTGTGTGTGTTAGACAATGTGATAAGAAAGAACAAGAACCAACGTAATGAAAGCTAAGCCGTGTTGGCCACATGAATGTGTAATAATAAGACATGCTTGTGTTATGTATTTTGTGATTGTAGGTCAAGACTCGAGGATTGATTGACCATTTACGGAAATCACTATGAGTAACATTTCTGTAAAGATATGTTGATATGAATTATGTTCCAAATGAAATGTGATAAGCTATGATTTCTGAAATGATATCTGTTTACGTGAACGAACATCCCAAGTTTGAAATCTATTATGGCATCCATAGATAGTACCAAGTCATAGGGGACGACATGAAAATACGAGTCCATGACATACAAGTTTACGAGATCTCGTTAGCCACTTCATTATGGTGATATGTATTTAATCGGTATCCGGAACCGATTACTCTAGTTGGGAGACGTTCTGTGATGTGTTCTATGGGATGTACCATTATTATGTTCTAATACGAGAATGATTATGCTATGATCTGTTTTACGCTTACGATATATTCGGATTTCGTTTACTAGCAGGGGACGACATGAAAATACGGGTCCATGACATACAAGTTTACGAGATCTCGTTAGACACTTCATTGTGGTGATATGTATTTAATCGGTATCCGGAACCGATTACTCTAGTTGGGAGACGTTCTGTGATGTGTTCTATGGGATGTACCATTATTATGTTCTAATACGAGAATGATTATGCTATGATCTGTTTTACGCTTACGATATATTCGGATTTCGTTTACTAGCCTCTTTACCTTAATATTATTCATTGGGCTTTAGCTCATTGTGTTTATAATATATATGTATAAGTGAGCATTCTAGAGCCCGAGCCTGAAGGCTTTTGTCTGGATCTGTGTTCTATTGTCAGCTAACCATTGTGTCTCACGTGGAGGTTCCCGAAGTGTCATGTGTTCAAGTTCTGTTGGTTTTGTGTATATGTATGACTTGGTTTAATTCTGTTGGCTGGGTTTAAGATACTATAATGTGTGTGGATATAATGTATGAATGACTTTTGGTTATGTATATAAAGTTTTTAAATATTCTGTTTCATATAAGTCAGCACAGCTCATTGGACAACTATATTTATGTATTTGCTTCCGCTAACTCTTTAATCTTGTTAATCTGTTCAGAGGCCTTCGGTAATCCAAGGATTACTGGCCGGTTACGATGCTAAACCTATAGGGTCGGGTCTGGGTCGTGACAAAAATCAACATATATCTTATATTGTAATGGTTAACTTGTATGTCATTTTAAATTTAATGATCTTTTTTTTAATGAATAATGTTGAAACTTTCTTGATTATAAAAATCTGTTTGGTTTGGTTTTCTGAATCCATTTAAAATTTTTTTTATAAGAAACTAAAAATTAAATTGGTGAGAAAAAAAAATTAAAAACATATCATTTTTATATAACTTTATCTTTTGAGAGGGTAAAAATAATTTTTTTATATTTATTTTCGTTAAATTAGTTTATATTTTTTCAAAAGTTGGTGACAACTTTGATATCATTATTAAATCAACCTATTAAATCAAAATATTTAAAACTAAAAACATTTCATATATTATACATATTGATTATACATTAAAAACCTAATAACCATCCATTACATGATAATCATCAAAAAATATCTGTTAATCACAAATATAACCATATATTACATGATAACTATCCAAAAATATCAATAAAAATAATCACACATTGCATGATCATCATCCAAACACATGAGCGATGTAATCGGTTTGAGATGGTCGGTGTTTAAGTAAAATTTTACACCGAACCGATAATGTCGGCTCTATTATATTGAGAATCGATACAAACCTAATTTTTCACTAAACCACACCAATTTAAACGGTTCGACTCGATGCAATTTTTGATTTACGACATTTCAAATTTAAGTTACTTCTTAAATTTATATAAAAATATTGAATTAGCCATTTATACATTACTTTAATATCCAATCCAATCATTTCACAAAAATACTAACAAAAAGTGTTTAAGCTTTTACTGAAATAGAATTAGAAACAAAATATAATATGAAAACCAAAGTCTTGACACCAATGCAAAACTAAAGTTTAAAACCATGATCCCATAAATTTAAATCACAAGTCTATCCAGTAAAATTAAAATAAAAAATTGAAAATGACATAAACATCTCCTATAGTTATATAGGCAAAATAGTAGTAAAACTTGACTCAAGCACATATGAGTGGTAAACTAGCAACTTATCACATTGTCAATATCTATTGTTAAACTTGAAATATTTAAGAAAAAATAAACAATTAAGTGAATTAATTAAACTTTGTATTCAACCAACTTCATTATATATTTAGTATATATTATGTTTAATATGTGAAACTTTCGGTCGGTTTCAATTTAATTTGGTACACAAGATGCCTAAACTGGTACCAAACAGAAAATTTTAAAAAATTAATTTTAAAAACCGAACAAACCAATTTATACTAAAAAATGGACCAAATATAGCCAGTTTGGTTCGATTCAGCCAGTTTGGTTGATTTTTTCGATTTTTCTTATATTCCTAAAACTTATACTAAAAATTAATTTGGTAAAAAATAAAAAAATAAAAATGTAAAAGATTTATCATTTTATATAATTTTATCTTTGATAGGTAAAAATAATTTTTAAAAATTTAAAAATAATTTTTTGACATTTATTTTTATGAAACTAGTTTATATTTTATCAAATTAACGACTTTGTCATTAAAATAGATCAACAGTATCTTTAATTGTCTTTATTTAAAATTATATTCAAAATTTAAGATCAAATATATCACAATTAAAAGAGTAGAGACTAAAATAACGTAAGTCTTAAAATGCAAAGACAGTTAGGCCAAGTTTGGGAAGACTAAAAAAGTGCACTTTTTGTCTTTTTGGACTAAAAAATTGAGGTTGAAAATATGGATGTTTGGGTTAACTTTTTGACTTTTTATTGAAAAATGTGTAATAAAAAATTGTAAAAATTGATTTGTAGAGAAAAATTTGAATTGGGAGTTGTGCAGCCGTAATTGTTGACTTTTGGTGAATAGTGTTAACTTTTTAGCTTTTTGAGTAATTTTTTGACTTTTTGACTTATTTGGGACTTCCCAAACTTAGCCTTAGTGTAATTTGTTATAAAAAAATAAAATATATATTTAATTTAAAAAAATTACAAGAGTGTCAGTGCAATTTACTTTTTCTAATTCGTGTCGACCACGCGTAGTCGATGACGATTCTCACACAACTCTAAAATAAAAAAATAAAAAATGGGGACCAAAGTTGAGAGCTGAAATAGTAATACACAAAGCAAAGTGATAAAACCAAAAACGAAAAGGAAAAGACCCCAAAAATAAAACAAACCCTAACGCCTTCCTAGGCGGCGTAGTTACTGATCTTTGTTTGTTTAAAGCTTTTAGGGATTCTCAATCTTCGATTCAATCTTCTCTTCGTTTTCGATTCGTTTATACATACGCATATAGATTGTAGTAGCAGAGAGAGATGGCGGATCGATTGACTCGTATTGCCATCGTCAGCTCCGATCGGTGCAAGCCCAAAAAGTGCCGCCAGGAATGCAAAAAGAGCTGTCCTGTTGTCAAAACCGGTAATCTAATAAGAATTTGATTTGTATGATTGTTAAATTGCTATTTGAATTGATGCTTTTGAAGGGTTTTTTTATTTTTATTTTTTTATCAAGTTGTTATTGATTCATTGATTTTGATTGTTTAGCCGTGTCTGTTAATGTTAATGGTTATTTTGAGACTCAATTTAGCATCTAATCTTCTAATATCCGTGATTTTGTATAATTGTGTATAGCAAACTTTAGTCTTTATGGAGAGAGAGAGAGAGAGAGAGAGTGTACATGGCACCCTCTATATATCATCACTACTTTGCTTAATAGCAATGAAATCCCCCATAACTAACCGAAGCAGAAGTAAGAGGGTGCTGAGGGTCATCTGCACTCCAATTGTATTGTGGGATTCGATGAGAAAATAAAAGAAATAGAGTGAAAGAGAAAGTAAGAGAAATGTTGAGAAAGAAAAATCTCACTATTTGCTTCCCACCAAAACTAGTGAGACTTGGCGAGAAACAAAAATTGCTCTTTTTCTAAATTACCCTTCTAAATACAAAGCAAATAAAAATAAAGGCACTTACCATTTTTTTTTTAAACACTTATATTACTTTTTTTGGGGGTTAATGTTCATAAACAAAATTGAAAATTGTAAACAAAAACTTGTTTAAAGTGTTATTTTAATTTCTAAAAGGAAAATGCTATGGATCCCAAGTAAATTACCAAACCTCTCACTTGGGTATGGGACCCACACAAAGAGGTTTGGTAATTTGTTTGGTAATTTATTTGGGGTCCCTAGTATAACTTTTTCTAAAAAATTGTAAACAATTTATCAAATTTATTAATTTCTTGCAACAAAAAAAGAAGTTTTAACTTTTTTTGAAAAGAAAGGCCAGTTTGGTGCTACTTTGTAAACAAAAACTTGTTTAGGGTGTCATTTTCATTTCTAAAAAATTGTAAACAATTTATCAAATTTATAATTTCTTGCAACAAAAAAAGTTATTTTCACTTGTTTTGAAAATAAAGGCCTGTTTCGTGCTACTTTCCTCAGGATTAAAGTTGATAATTAGAAAGTAAAAGTTAGAAGCACCAATTTTCTCAGCTTTGAGATAATCAATTTATTTAAGCTAGTTTTGCCTTGTAAGCTATAAGCAGAATCTGCACCAAACAGCTCGTAAGTTTTCATTCCTTCCTCTCTTTCTCTATCATCCCCTCCAACTGCTATCCACTGTTGATTGCCACCTATAGTAACCACCTCCCATTGGGGACAACCACCTTTGGCCATCACCTTCTGTCGACAATCACCCCTGGTCACCATCTTTGGCTGCCGCCAATCACCACTTACCATATCCAGCCATTGACAATCACCTCTAGCCACCGCCTTCCGCTGGCAATCATCTTTGGCCACACCCTCACTTCTTTATGAAACGCGTGTGACATGTGTATTAAATATGTTTTTTGTGTTCATTTTTACCCAAAAAAAAAACATAAACATCTTTAAGGTTTTCTGTAAAGAAAAGATGCTAATATGTAAATGAATGACACCTCATGTTCATTATAAATTTATTTTTAAAATAAAGATTACTATAATTATGGAATGCAGAAGTAGGTTTGTAATTTTCGAATGTGTACTTTCACATATGTGGTGGATCCATGTCATTGGGATGAAGGCTTATTGAGTTGAGTACACATACATATACGTGCTTCATATAAAACATGTGGATATCAAATCACAGGAAGTGGGTGCATTTGATGCATTTGGTGTCTTTTGAGCTACAAAATTATTTCACTCTTATTTGGTGTCCTTGCACTTGTATATGTGCTGCATAATGTTTTCCGGTTGGTGGGTGCATTTGGTGTCGTTGCACTTCTTTGGTTCTATAATCACTTGCTGGAATTCTCTCTCTCTCTCTCTCTATATATATATATATATATTTCTCTCTTGACAAGTATGAACATATGTTTGTTTTACCCATAGTTCACTTGTATTTGCAGGTAAACTGTGCATTGAGGTCACTCCTGCATCTAAAATTGCTTTCATCTCTGAGGAGCTGTGCATTGGTTGCGGTATCTGTGTTAAGGTTTGTGAACTACAACATGCATTTCTGGTGTACATTCTGTAATTTACCAGTGAAATTACATGATGTGCCTATCTTGCTATTGTGTTTTCTTGTGATGCAGAAATGCCCATTTGAAGCAATTCAAATTATCAATCTACCAAAAGATTTGGATAAAGATACGACCCACCGATATGGCCCCAATACCTTTAAATTGCACAGGTTTGTTCTGACTGCTGTTTCTCTAGGGTTGTGGTTTCTTGTTGATTTAGTTTTAGTCTAAAATTTCTATCACAGGTTACCAGTACCGAGGCCGGGACAAGTTCTTGGTTTGGTTGGAACAAATGGCATTGGGAAGTCGACTGCCCTTAAAGTTTTGGCTGGGAAATTGAAACCTAATTTGGGCCGTTTCAATGTAATCCTTGGGTTATATTTCGCTAATTGTTGTTTATGCATACATGGGTTATGTTGTTTACTTATTTATGTGATTTGTTTTGCAGAACCCTCCGGATTGGCAAGAAATCTTGGCATATTTCCGCGGATCTGAACTACAGAATTATTTCACCCGTATTTTGGAAGATAATTTGAAGGTGCCATCTAATTTAGAATTTGTTTTATCATGTGTGTGCCTTTTTCTAATTTATTACTTGTTTGATGGAGTTCTAGTATCTTGATTGGTTTGGAATTTAAGGTATTGTCTAAGTGAACATTTGGGTTAATTGATTAAACGTAATCAAGCTTTTTGCCTGTAAAGTTAGTTATATCACAAAAAATGTTTTGGTACCAGTCATGTTCACTTGCATCAATAATCCATTTTCTAAACATAGTAAAAGTCTGTCTTTTGTTAGCAGTCTCCAGGTTTAAGATATTTGTGTGGTGTTGTAGAATGGTGGATGTTCATTGATTTTATATTGAGAATACATAATTTGTGGTGTTACTTGGCTTGATTGCTTCCCACAACACAAAACTGAAAAACAAATGGAAAGAAAAAGCAAATTAAAAAAGATGATGATAAATTTCTTTAAAGAACAGGAAAATTTCCTTTGTAACTCCATTATGAGAAAGCTGTTCTATTGTAAAAATTATTAGTTAAAGCTTTTTTCTTTGAAGCAATGATCTACCACTCAAGTTGGCTCATTAGGAAAATGTCAAATGACAATGTGAGATTAGGTTATTGCTCATTTTTTTAAAGTTTATCACGGTGTATTTAACAGTAGTGTTTTATGTATGGTATCAAAATGTTATACAACAGTTTATATATAGCAATTTGTATGGAATATGATTAACATAGGGGTCATATTGTACACAAGTAAAAAATTGAGAAACTTAACAATTTATTTTATATCTCTGCTAATAATATTGTACACAAGTATTTTGTTTCATACCTTTGTTTCTATTTTTCATATATCATTTTTACATTTGACAATTTATGATCTGATGCCAAGTTTTAGTGCCAATTGGATATTGATTGCAGCAACTTGTCACACGGACACTTGGGTTGGATCCACTGCTTTAAAACCTTAGATTTGCTCCAAACGCTACTTTCATAAGATAGTTGGGCTTCCCTCCTATATACCCCTCTACCAGCACAACATGAGATCACCATACTTCCTAAACTGCAAAAATATTGAACATGAGCAAAACAATTGATTTTAGGATTCTGTTAGGGCATAGCAGACTAAAAACATTTTTATGCTGCTTATTAGGTCTTCGGCACTCTTGTTGTATTTAATATATTGTTCATACATTTAGACTATGGAGTAACTAATTGTATTTGCTTAAATGATTTCAATTTTATGATGCATGGACACTTGTACGAAGGCGCAGTATCCGTGTCAAACATCGACACTCTTGGACAGCCTCAGCATGTGTAGGACACTTGTCCTAATTTGTTTTAATTTTTTTGAAAATGGACATGCTTCAGATATTTGAGGGGGACACATCCATTGCTCAAAACACATTAGGATTTGTTTTAAGAAAATAGATTGGATTCAATGATGAAGTAAAAACAATGTGGATTTATACCTATTAATCCCTCCTTTAAACTTTTTAATTTTAGAATTCTAAAGGTCTAATTCCAAAACTTCCAATTTGTTTTGAGTAGAGCTTTCTAAATAGATATTGGGATCATGCTTATTTTGCAATATGCAGAAGATGGAAAATGATTTCTTATTATTTTGGTTTGATAAAATATAAATGCATTCGTAATGTAAAAATGAATAAATGCATTATTTTTATGTATATATATTTATTTGTTTGTGTTCGTGACCTGTTGTTGTGCCTTGATTTTTTGTTTTTGAAAATTACTATCTAAGAAGCACGGACACTTCTAAGAAGGTGACGTATTCGTGTCGTATCCGTGTCGGACACCAATACTCTTTGGACACTCTCAGGACACGTGTCCGACACTCTTAGTTGGGCTTCCCTCCTATATACCCCTCTACCAGCACAACATGAGATCACCATACTTCCTAAACTGCAAAAATATTGAACATGAGCAAAACAATTGATTTTAGGATTCTGTTAGGGCATAGCAGACTAAAAACATTTTTAAGAAATAGATTAGGATTTGTTTTAAGAAATAGATTGGATTCAATGATGAAGTAAAAACAATGTGGATTTATACCTATTAATCCCTCCTTTAAACTTTTTAATTTTAGAATTCTAAAGGTCTAATTCCAAAACTTCCAATTTGTTTTGAGTAGAGCTTTCTAAATAGATATTAGGATCATGCTTATTTTGCAATATGCAGAAGATGGAAAATGATTTCTTATTATTTTGGTTTGATAAAATATTAATGCATTCGTAATGTAAAAATGAATAAATGCATTATTTTTATGTATATATATTTATTTGTTTGTGTTCGTGACCTGTTGTTGTGCCTTGATTTTTTGTTTTTGAAAATTACTGTGTCAGCGTCAGTGTCGTGTCTTAATTGTGTTTACTGTCCGTATCTGTGTTTTGTATGGTTTTATTTTATTAAGCATCCTATTTATGATATTGTGTCCTTGCTCCTTAGCGTTTTATTTTGTTAAGCATCCTATTTATGATTTAAAGTTTTGTTTCGTAGGCCATCATCAAGCCCCAATATGTTGATCACATTCCAAAAGCAGTGCAAGGCAATGTTGGGCAAGTGCTCGAACAGAAAGATGAAAGAGACATGAAATCAGTACTTTGTGCTGATCTTGAGCTGAATCAGGTTTTGGATCGCAATGTAGGGGATCTATCTGGGGGAGAGCTTCAGAGATTTGCTATTGCTGTTGTTGCTATACAGAATGCAGAGATATATATGTTTGATGAACCCTCAAGTTATCTTGATGTAAAACAGAGACTTAAAGCTGCCCAAGTTGTTCGATCCCTGCTCAGGCCTAATAGGTTTATTTTGACTCCAATCTCTGTTTGTTCTCAGCCTTACATTTTTTTTTTTTGCTTGTATTTGAGGCCTAAAAGACAAAAATTCAATTGTTGACACTTCGTATTTCAGTTATGTGATTGTCGTGGAGCATGACCTTAGCGTCCTAGATTACTTATCAGACTTCATTTGCTGTCTATATGGGAAGCCTGGTGCATATGGAGTTGTTACCCTTCCTTTCTCTGTTAGAGAAGGAATCAATATATTTTTGGCTGGATTTGTCCCCACAGAAAATCTACGTTTTCGGGATGAATCTCTTACCTTCAAGGTAAATTGGTCATATTCACGTTCGTGCAGTGTCCCTTACAAAGCAGCAGGAGTGTTTACTATGTTTTTGCTTCCCACAGGTTGCTGAGACTCCACAGGAAAGTGCTGAGGAGATTGAAACATATGCACGTTATAAGTACCCAACCATGTCTAAAACTCAGGGAAATTTCAAGCTTAGTGTGCTGGAGGGTGAATTTACTGATTCCCAAATTGTTGTAATGCTGGGTGAGAATGGTACAGGGAAGACAACATTCATCCGCATGCTGGTAAATATTTTTTTTGTTACTTCGTTTTTATGTTGAATTCGTATCTGTTTTAGTAGATATGTGTCACGGATGAGTTATCTTAGTGGTAAAAATTGCAGGCTGGTTTATTGAAACCTGATACCGTAGAAGGTTCTGATGTGGAGATACCGGAATTTAATGTTTCTTACAAGCCTCAGAAGATCAGTCCAAAGTTTCAATATCAAGTCAGGAACTTGCTGCATCAGAAAATACGTGATTCCTATATGCATCCCCAGTTTGTGTCAGACGTGATGAAGCCTCTTCAGATTGAACAATTAATGGATCAAGAAGTTGTGAATCTTTCTGGAGGGGAGTTGCAAAGGGTTGCGTTATGTCTATGCCTTGGAAAGGTAAATATTTTTCATGGTAGTGTGCTTCACTGTATATAGTTTTGTGTCATTATGTTTTATCTGCTTATCTGTACATATATATACGGGGATAGATATATGTTGATATATTGAACTGTTTGATTTGTTGGACCACCATCTCTTTGGTTAGTATCAAACCCTACAATTGGAGAACTTTAGTTGTTGATTGTACTTGTATTGCTTAGTGGATGACCCCCCTATGTCTTGGTGTTTGTCCATCGCTTAATTTTTTTATTGGTTGAATTTGTTTGTCTCAATTCTTATATTTCCAGGGTTGTTTATGCTTCTGAGGGGATAAGTAGATATTATTTCCTCCTGTCCTCTTCAATTCTGGACTCTATGTTTTGCACATGATTATATTCTTTATTAGCTAAAATACTTTTTGCTGCATTAATTCATTATTTGTTTTTATTGTACCTGATTGCCGTATGATATTATTTCCACGCTAATCATATGTTGGCTGTTATTGCATATAGAAGGGCAGTGACAACCGTAAAATGATTTAGGCCAACGAAAAATGCCCGTGCTTTTTCTGTGAACTTCCTTGTAACCTGCTTGTATATTTTGATAGGTTCCGTGCTCTTATGGTACTCATATTTTTTTGTTTCATGATTAATTGAGAAAATGATTGGGAAAGTGGTGGCATGTGGGATGTTATAAACGGTTTAGTGTTTTCTTTTGCATGGAGCAAGTTTAGTTTGCCCTTGAGCTGGTGGTACTGATGATTGAACATTATATTAGTTGGTAGTCTACGGCTTTGAGGAGGCAGTGGAGCTCTTCATGGCCATTGGATGGAGGTTGGGGTGGTAATGGGAAATACAAGGACTAGTGGAGATCAGAATATGGAATAGTGAATTTGTCAATTTGTTTAATTTCAATTTCCAATCTATGGTTTGGCTATCCTTTTTAAAAGGAAAAAAATATGTTATGGAGATCAGAAATTCAAATTAAAAGGAAAAAAATATGTTAAGAGATACAGATGGACCACAAGAAGCTAAACCAAAAGAGGAAATAAGCCAACACAACAGATAAACATAAGTAAATCACATTGATGATAATAAGGGTAACTCTCTGTCCACACCTTCTGAACAACAAAATAGCTGTCCACTGTATAGAAGATTAGATGGGTGTCTGCAATAGTTTCGTTGCACTTATAATGATTTATGCATTTAAGACATTGCTGCCCGAGTTGACAAAAGCTGAAGACTGACCGAGGTAGTTGGCTGTGATTGGTTCCAATTTGAGACCAACCCGTGATCAATGACAACCATCACCTCGGGACATCATTTTTCTTGTGTTTTTGGGTGTGTTGATTAATCTAGGGATTTCCATGCAGCTACGAGCATAAGCGATTTGTGCTCCTAAAATATTAAGTTGGTATATGGTTGGAGTGAAATAGGCGAACTTTTCAAGAGATTTATCATTCTGTGTCGTGGCTGGAGAATCGGCTTTTAGTTGCTATGTATAGTTGGTTGGAGAGTAGAGTAGATCCGGATTTGTTTGCTTTCCTAGATTTTTTGGATGATGTAATTGGTTAGGCATGTTTAGTTTTTTCTTTTTGGTTTCCTTGTGTTCTTTGCATCATCTTGATGCTTTTTCAATGAAGTTTTATTATTTATCAAAAAAAAAAAAAAAACTCATAATGAAGCGAGGGTAGTGTCTGTATACATGTGTTATATGGGCTTTTCTACTTCCTCTAGGTGTACAGGGGTTGCTTGTATGTGTCTCATAATTAAGGGTGTGGGGAAAAATAATAATAATAATAATTAAGGGTGTGGGATATGTGTCTAATTTAGACACTTGCATCTTTTAATTTTATATGATGTTCGAAGAAGATGATGCTCACGTTTGTTAGTAAAGAAATAATTCAAGCTTCTCATACGAATGAGAGATATAAATTTCATGTGGATGCTTTCTAATTTTGCCATTTCTGTGATCACTCTCAAATAAAGGAGTTGAGCTAAACTAGATGAATTGTTGTTTGATCATTTCTTGATTTTTGCATGGATTAGTATCGTTTCTGTTTGAATGTTTAGGATTTGATGTACAGCCCCATTCAGATTTATGTTTTGTTTGCCTTTTGTTTTTCCCTGTTTGTTCGCCTGTTTCACATATCTGTTCTTTTCCAAAGCAAAAACGGATTCTTAGCCCTAAAATACAAGCCCCTCGCATCTTTTATATGTGTAGGTGTGTGCATGCAGGTCCAGTTATCTGTGGCTTCTTTGCACTTTCTAAGGCATAAATTTGTGTTTCTGTTGTTTGTTCAATTATCTGTGGCTTCCGTGCACTTTCCAATTATTTGTGCATGCTGGTACTGTATGCCTTACGTTTTGTGAGCATGGTTTGGTTGTAGAATTCTTATACCATGTTCTCTGCTATTTGTATATAACCAACAAGGAAATTTGTTATTAGCTTCTTGAAACTCTGATGCAAGTACATTCTTCAGAAAGCATATGCCTGGGAATCCTAGTGTTATTAGTTTTTTTACTCCTTTTTTTACGGAATATATTAATCTTATTTGACATGTAATGTGTTGTATTCATTGCAGCCTGCAGATATTTATCTGATAGACGAACCAAGTGCATATCTTGACTCTGAGCAGCGTATTGTTGCCTCAAAGGTTATCAAGCGATTCATCCTGCATGCAAAAAAGACTGCATTTGTGGTCGAGCATGATTTTATAATGGCAACCTATCTGGCAGATAGGGTCATTGTATATGAGGGAAGACCATCCGTGGATTGTACTGCAAACACACCACAGTCACTGTTGACTGGCATGAATCTTTTCCTATCTGTAAGCCTCGTAAACTCTTTTGATGATCTCTTTCTTTCCAATATATAGGAAGAAACTAAATTTAAGAGTAAAGTGCAATATATATAATATATCTATTAAATATTCCGTTGTGGAGAAAATTTCCCCTGCTCACTGTTTGTTTAATTTTTTATGCTCGTGTTTTTAAAGATCTTTCTTATTACTAATCTTCTACTGAATGCATTCTGTTGCATTTTATATAGCATCTTAACATCACGTTTAGGCGGGACCCAACAAATTATCGGCCCAGAATCAACAAATTGGAGTCTACTAAGGACAGGGAGCAAAAATCTGCTGGATCCTATTATTACCTGGATGATTAACTTTATTATGAATAGGTAATACTCTCTCTCTCTCTCTCTCTCTCTCTCTCTCTCTCTCTCTCTCTCTCTCTCTCTCGGACATTAACAGGAATGTTTGTCATTTGTAGTTGGTGGTTATCAAAGATAAAGGGCGTCAATATCTGCCACTTATGGGAGCTTCACCGTGCTTTTTTGATATTTTGATCAGCCAAGAGCCCCCCTTCTCAGTGGTCAAGAGGATGAGTACATTTGGGAGTAATTTATTGATTTTCCTTTGGTATTTATATGGCAAGTATGCTTTATTATGTTGACCCGTTTGGCCATGTTGGGCGATTGAAAGATTTCGTGATTGTACTGTCTTTTTGGTGTAACAATCGGTGAATTGGACTTAAATGTATGAAAATTTACTAGGGAGGAGGTACGGAGTGAATGTCCAACAAATTTTGTTTTGGACACGAACCTTGTTGTGGTATCCTTTATTGGATCTCTCTCTTAACATTCTCATTTTTTGTTTGCCATTGGAAATGGCAAAGTGAGCCCCTTTCTTCCCCACCCCCCATACTACAAATGTTGGTCAGTTGCTTGCTTGCTAATTAATTAAAAGACAAGGGTAAAATCGGAATTTTATGGAAATGTGAAATAATATTTTGGGTGATTCTACTTGCACCACTATTTTACTTCCTTACACCCTCCATGTGAGATTGTTTTTTTCTTTCAAGTTTATCCATGAGTGAAATTACTTAAAAGGACAAAACACTAAAATTAAATATATTTGATTATCTCCTTACATCCCTTGATCTTCAATTCCTATTTTTCCTTTCTCAACTTTTCTTTTTTCTCACACATCTCTTTTTAAAAAAGTGATAATCATAATGTTTTGATCATTAAAAAAAGCAATGGATGAAGAAATGGTGGTGAAAAAAAAAGTGAAATTGAGTTTTTTTATTAGTTTGGTAGGCTTTTGCTTCGATTTTATGGGTTGGTCTGCGACTTTTGTTCGGTGTTTTGTTTTGAAATCGAACAAAATAACATAGTTCGGCATCACAGTGCCGAATAAAAAATATAAATCTGGTGTCAAATTGCCGAATAAAAGATATATTTTCGGTAAATTACCGAACAAAAAATTTAAGTCTGATATTAAATTACTAAACAAGCCCAAATTATCATTTGGAACAAAGTGGCTCTATAAATATATAGCAACGGAACGCTAGACAAATCTATTTTTTCCAGCAACATAACATTGGAGTAATTAAAATTCACTAGCATTTTATTATCGAACAAGCCCAACACAAATTATTACTACATTATTTGGAAGGAAGTGGCTTTGTAAATGTATAGTAACAAAAGGCTAGAACAAACAATTTATTCCAGCGTTATAGCATTGAATTTTTATAAATTGTTTTGCATTGTGTGACCAAACAGGCACTTCAATGTGAACTCTACTGGTTTTGTTGGGAAGCGAACTGAAATTATCCAATTGAATGGTAACATAATTCTGGGAAACAAAATTTTATCCGGTAACATAGAACTAGAGTAATTCAAATTGTTTAGCATTGTATTACCGAACAGGCCCAGCACAAAGTATGGGTGTAAAGAGATGGGTTTTGAAGAGTTTTTTTATCATAGGGTTTGTTTTGGTAATATATTAGGTGTAATGAGAATTTAATTTTTTTTTAAATAGTGTAATGAGATGGAGGGTGTAAGAAGGAAAAAGAGTGGTGTAAGTAGAATCACCCTAATATTTTTCATCTTGCTTAAATTGTTGCTTTTGAAAGAAAATTATTATTGGTTAGTTTCTTCAAGATAGGGTCACTTTAGTAAATTACGGCATTGTCCCCGAGAGTTGAGCACAAGATTGTGGATGATGCCAGTGGTTGTCATTTGCGGAATGTTACAACTTATATTTTGGTATGTTGTATTGCTAAAAATGTTATATTTTGATATGTTACAATATAAAAATTTATGAAATTACATATATTTTGTATTCATACAGAGATGGATGCAAAATTCATAACTTGATGGGTGAATAAATATGTAATAAAGAATATTTATAAAATGCTCTACTAATTTCTATCAACACAAAATATATGTTTATATTAAAAAATTGTTTGATGCTTTTTTTTCTTCCTTTTTGACATAAAATGTATTTATGATAGAAGAAATATAGATATATTATAGGGTAAATTATACTGGAAGTTCTTATATTTTACTCTGTATTATTTTGGTGTTTCTACTTTCAAATGTTTCAGCTTTAGCTCTTAATTTTAAATTTTGTGTCAATTTGGTTCAATTGATAATACTGTTAGTGTTTTTGATAAAAAATTATTATTGAGTTGGTTGAGGTTAACTTACTAAATTGAGCAAATTTATAAATTTATCCTTAGAAACATGATATATGTTACTTGTGTGTTATTTTTCATTAAAAATATTAAAAATTATAATTAATTGAATTAAATTGAAATAAAATTATAAATTCAATATCAAAATTGAGCTGATTGAAATTATAAAGATCAAAATGACATAATAATCAAAATATAAGAAGTAGCGATATAATTTGTCCTATATGATCGATGTTATATTTAGCAGTTTGGTTGCTTCGTCTTGCTATACTAATTGGATAACACGTCCAATAACTTCAATTGGCTAAGACATCCAATAATCTAAAAGAGTAACTCTCCATACTAATTGGCTAACACATGCAATAACTTTAAAAATTAACTCTATGAATACGAGAAATTATAGTTTGCTTTGGGGACAAATTCAATGAGTGCTCCAACATACATTTTATTGGCTAAAATAGTAAGTCTCATCACTATTTGTCTCTTATGAAGTGACAACATGACAAATGTCATGATTTGTGTAGTGTGAAGCAATGCTCCCGAACTACTAAATAACTTCTCCTGTGAATACATGTTAGACTGTAAATATCAAAAGGTTAATCTAGTGAACGAGACATTTCTTTACTAAACATGATGTCTCAATTTCCCTCCTCCCTCTTATATTATTCTCATGTCATCGATTGTAAATGGGGTTTATAAATGTTAGTAACTCCATGAAAGTTAAAATTTTATTATAAAGTCATTGATTCGGAAATTTTTTATGGATTTGTCAAAAATAAATCAAAGTGACATTTTTAGCTTACAATAACCACTAAAGAAACCAACAACACTTGTCACGATTGGTCGTTGACTATGCGTTCTGCGCGTCACCTCCTTCTATCGCTTCAGTTACCTATTTTCATTGTTTGTCAACAACAAACATAAGATATGAGGCCACCATCTTTGTCTTTACAATAGAAAATGCCAACAATACATCTTTCTTGTTCTCTCTTCTACCACCGAGATTTGAGGTTTTGTTGCTTGCAATACAGATGATAGCGGTCGCAGTCTCCAAAACCTCATCGTCGTGGACAAAGCCATTGACATTAGGGGCGTGAATTTGGCCCACTGACTCATGGCTTACCTAAAGTTCACCCGCGACTCAGTCTGCATAAGTTCATCTAGTCTAGGGCCTGAGCCCAGCTCGAGACCTTGGGCGTAGGCTTGGATTGTTTGTTTTGAAGCTCAGTCTGACCCATGAGCCCAACCCACAGCTTGACCAGTTTGGCCTGAAAATTCACCCTCTATTGGTCTGACTTGGCTAGACCTCCCTACTCCCAGCCAATGGTCATTTTTTTGAAATTGAATATCACATGAGATCTAATCAAATAGCTCTCATGAATCATAATTAAACTAATGTCATAATAAAAAAAGAAAATTACATAATTTCATATATTTTTTTATTCATAATTAAAAAACACATAAGTCATACTAATTAAATACCACATGAAATATCAACAAACATCTCATTAATCATAACTAAAATACTTCAGTACAATTTTTTTTTTTACTTTTTATCCCTCATAAATAATCTATACATATAATATACATATATCTATCAATTATTTTTAGCAAAAAAAAATAAAAAGACCGAGCCTACAACCTTACTTTGAGTGGGTCTGGACCTAGTTTTTTATCATGCAGGCTGGCCTAACTCGAATTTGGGCAAAAGCTTGTACGACCCAATTGTGGATTGGCCTAAACCCAGACCCAGGTGGATCGGGTCAGACTGGACCAAATTTACAGCCCTAAACGACGTCATTTCTTTGTTAGATATCCCGTTTTTATTAATCTATCTTTATTTAAGTTTGAAAACTAACTTTCTTTTTTAATAATACACATATTTCTCTCACTACAAACCAAATAGATTTTCAACCAAACTCACTTTTTTTCTCCTGTATATCTTGTGCTTATTCTCGTCCTTTACCATGGCCACCCTTGCATACACAAGGAAATCTGGTAACTCAGTAAAATGTTAGTGGCCCATGGCTAGTATAAGCAAAATTGTCAATTTTAACTCTTTTTTTTTTTTATTGATATGTAAAATAAGACTCTAGAAGGAAATTTAATTTTGAGCGCTTTTAAAAACTGACTTTTTTAGTAAATTTTTAATTGTTAAACTAAAATATGAGCCGATTAATTACTTATTACCAAAAAAAATGCTAGGCCAGTGAGATACTGTATCTCTTTGACTGTGTTGGGCCTCTCAAGATCTTGGATTGCTTTGATCTGAGAGGGATCAGCTTTTATACACCGGTTGGTCATTAGAAAGCTTAGGAATTTTCCTGATCCTACGCCGAATGCACACTTAGATGCGTTTAGACGTAACTTGTGGGACTTCAAAATCTGAAACATTTCATCTAGGTCCTTGAGATGATCCTTCTCATCCTTGCTCTTGACCACCATGTCATCTATGTAAGCCTCCATTGTTCTGCCTAACAATGGTTCAAACATTTTGGTGACCATCCGTTGGAATGAAGCCCCTACGTTCTTTAGGCCAAAGGGCATGACCTTATAACAGTACAATCCTCTGGGCATTGTAAATGACGTGACCTCCTGGTCTGGTTCATACATAGCGATCTGATGGTAACCTCGATACGTGTCAAGGAAGCTAAGTCGATTATGCCTTGCCGTCAGGCCCACCAGTTGGTCTAGAAATGGCAACGGGGCGTGGTCGGGATCACACTCCTCGTCCCCGATCCCCGATGGTGAAAATTTTCCCGGCCCTGGCCCCGATCCCTGACGGGGAACCTATCAGCCTCCCCACCCCTGCCCCCTAATGGGGATCGGTTTCCCCAACCCCGAAAATTCCCGGCCAAAAAAAAAAAAAAAGCAAAACAGTAGCTCTCATCATCATCAATATCAACAACTATAGTCTACAAAATCATCATCATCAACATCAACAACAAAAAAATGTATATCTATAGCTATATCTATATATATATCAGACACCATTTACCCTACACCTCATAGCACAAGGCCTCCATCCTCACTGACGGTGGTGCGATCAACGGCTATCGGTGGTGCTAAAAAATGTTTATCGCGACTCAGATCTGGAAGGAGCTCTCCTTCGCCGATCTATCTCTAGAATTCTCCATGGCTTAAATCTGGAAGGTGAGAGAGTTAAG